AATTTATTATTATTTAATCTTTTAATTTTAGTATTAAAAATTTAAATTATATTTTATTAAATTAAAATAATTACAATATATTTTTCTACTTTGAGAATGAAAAATATAATTAAACTAAAACTGAAAATATTATAATACATTTTTGAACTCTTTTTGATTAATTTTTTTTCCTAATTTTTTATAAAGTCAATTTTAATATTTAAAAGTATTTAACATTTTGCTTTCTGAAATGTTTTCTGTATTACCAAATTCCAGCTTTTAATAACCTCTACAACCAAATTCCAATCATAGAGAAACCAAGTGCCCAAATTCCAGGCACCAAACAATACAAAAAGAATGTAAAGAAATGAAAAAGAAGAAACTAGAATGCTCAAACCAGCTTTATGCAATTCTACTGTAAGTGTTTCTTCTTCAAAAGAAATCAAGTTGCCTCAAGAAAGATTTTCAAAGAACTTCTCAAAAACTGATGCGAATCTTTCTTGAAAAGAGTGCTACATTTTGCTTGATTGATTGCTCAAGGATGTCTAAAAGAAGATATTCAATGTATGTTAAAAAAGTTCAAGCCAAACTGTTTTTATAGAAGATTTTCAAAACTGCTTGGTTTAATTAATCTGTTAAAAGATTCTTTTAATCTGTTAAAAGTGCAGTTTTAATCTGTTAAAACTTCTTTTAATCCATTAATACGTTCTTGATTCTTTAACATGATTTGTTTTAACTGATACGACAACGTTTATATCAATTAAAACACTTTACAAAAAATCTTCTAAGTTGATTTAATCGATTGTTTCGCGATTCAATCGATTGAAATACTTGCAAAACTTTCTTGTAAAACTTTTCAAGTTATTTTAACTGATAAAAATAAGTTTTAATCGATTAAAACGCTTCGTGTATAAATTTTTAAGTTGTTTTAATCGATTGAAACGAGATTTAATCGATTAAAGAGTTCTGATCGGTCATAACTAAATTCTGATCGATCATAATCGATTATGATCGGTCAAAATTGGCATTCTGATCGATCATCCTGAACCCTTAAGTGGTTTTAATCGATTAAAATCAAGTTGTATCGATAAAAATATTGTAAAAACATTTCACTTGACATTTTAAGTAATTTTAATCGGTTCTATCAAAGTTGTATCGCTTAAAAACTTGTTTGAGAAAGCTTTTGTCAAAATACTTTATTTTTAAATGTTAAAAACATTTTTACGGGCATTTTGCAAAATCTTTTAAGTGAAGAAACCTTATGCAACGAAATCTTTTAATTTTAGTATTAAAAATTTAAATTATATTTTATTAAATTAAAATAATTACAATATATTTTTCTACTTTGAGAATGAACAATATAATTAAACTCAAAATTGACAATATTATAATACATTTTTGATATCTTAAATGTATTTCGCTTGAGCGACACTGGTCTCGCTCGAGCTAAACGCCCCTGCAAAAAACTGGCATTCTCGGGTTGTATTTCGCTTGAGCGACTCTAGTCTCGCTCGAGCGATATCTCGATGAAAAAATGTATCAATAAATAAATAAAATATAGTTAGATAGCGGTTAAGGTTTAACCGCTATTAGAAGTGCTCTTTTAAGAGCGGTTCCAGTGGAACCGCTATCATATACAACTAGATTTTTTGCTTCTGATCGATTAGATTTTCGAAATTATCGATCATATTTGATAATTTTTTCAAATAATTAATTATAATTGATTAGTTTTCTAAATTATTGATTAGAATTGATTAGTTTTTCAAATAATAGATTAGAATTGATTAAATTCGAAATATATACTAAAAAATTATAATTAAAAATATAAATTGTTTAAGAATATTGACTATTGTAAAGATAAAGTAGAACACGGGAGGAGATGAGAATGATAATATAATGATAGAACTTACAAAAATGTAGAATTGAGAAGTTTGAAAAAAATAAAATTAAGAAAATAGAGATTTAATTACACTTTTAATAAATTTAAGATAATACTAGTTTTGATTTTTATTTTTAAATATTTATTTTAATTATTTAAAACAGAGAAACTATAATTTTAGTTTCTAACTACTGAATTTAAAGAATTAAATTTATTATTATTTAATCTTTTAATTTTAGTATTAAAAATTTAAATTATATTTTATTAAATTAAAATAATTACAATATATTTTTCTACTTTGAGAATGAACAATATAATTAAACTCAAAATTGACAATATTATAATACATTTTTGAACTCTTTTGGATTAATTTTTTTTCCTAATTTTTGATAAAGTTAATTTTAATATTTAAAAGTATTTAACATTTTGAATTCTGAAAGGTTTTCTCTAATAGCAAATTTAAAAACATAATATTCAAAAAAATAGTTAATGTAAGTTTTCATTATGATCGATTATAATTAGAAATGATTGATCATAATTGAGAAGATATGATAGCGGTTCCACGTTAACCGCTATCTAAAGTATAATTTAGATAGCGGTTAAGGGTTAACCGCATTATTAAGTGTGCTTTTAAGAGCGGTGCTCTGTGGAACCGCTATCTAAAATGTATTTCGCTTGAGCGACACTGGTCTCGCTCGAGCGAAACGCCCCCGCACAAAATTGGCATTCTCGGGTTGTATTTCGCTTGAGCGACTCTAGTCTCGCTTGAGCGATATCTGATGAAAAAATGTATCAATAAATAAATAAAATATAGTTAGATAGCGGTTAAGGTTTAACCGCTATTAGAAGATCTCTTTTAAGAGCGGCTCCAGTGGAACCGCTATCATATACAACCAAATTTTTTGCTTCGATCGATTAGATTTTCAAAATGATCGATCATATTTGATAATTTTTTCAAATAATTAATTATAATTGATTAGTTTTCTAAATTATTGATTAGAATTGATTAGTTTTTCAAATAATAGATTAGAATTGATTAAATTCTAAATATATACTAAAAAATTATAATTAAAAATATAAATTATTTAAGAATATTGACTATTGTAAAGATAAAGTAGAACATGGGAGGATATGAGGATGATAATATAATGATAGAACTTACAAAAATGTAGAATTGAGAAGTTTGAAACAAATAAAATTAAGAAACTAGAGATTTAATTACACTTTTAATAAATTTAAGATAATACTAGTTTTGATTTTTATTTTTAAATATTTATTTTAATTATTTAAAACAGAGAAACTATAATTTTAGTTTCTAAATACTGAATTTAAAAAATTAAATTTATTATTATTTAATCTTTTAATTTTAGTATTGAAAATTTAAATTATATTTTATTAAATTAAAATAATTACAATATATTTTTCTACTTTGAGAATGAACAATATAATTAAACTCAAAATTGACAATATTATAATACATTTTTGAACTCTTTTGGATTAATTTTTTTTCCTAATTTTTGATAAAGTTAATTTTAATATTTAAAAGTATTTAACATTTTGAATTCTGAAAGGTTTTCTCTAATAGCAAATTTAAAAACATAATATTCAAAAAAATAGTTAATGTAAGTTTTCATTATGATCGATTATAATTAGAAATGATCGATCATAATTAAGAAGATATGATAGCGGTTCCATGTTAACCGCTATCTAAAGTATAATTTAGATAGCGGTTAAGGGTTCACCGCTTATTAGAAGTGCGCTTTTAAGAGCGGTTCTCGTGGAACACGACTATCTAAAATGTATTTCGACTTGAGCGACACCTGGTCTCGCTCGAGCGAAACGCCCCCTGCACAAAATTGGCATTCTCGGGTTGTATTTCGCTTGAGCGACATGGTCTCGCTCGAGCGACGCCACCTGCACAAAATTGGCATTCTCGGGTTGTTTTTCGCTTGAGCGACACTGATCTCGCTCGAGCGACATCCACATTTTTTGATTATGATCGATTACAATTTCAAATGATCGATCATATTTGAAAATATATAATAGCGGTTAATATTTAACCGCTATTAGAAGTGCTATATAATAGCGGTTAAGATTTAACCGCTATTAGAAGTGATATTATAATAACGGTTAAGATTTAACCGCTATCATATACTACCACATTTTTCATTTTCGTATCTCGCGCCACTTATCCCCAAATAACCCTAACTCTCGCGCCTGACTCGCCCATTCCTCTTAACCTTGGCCAGTATCTCCTCCTCACTCCCGGCGAGCCCTAGCCCCCTCACTGCTCCCCCCAAGTCAGCCCTCACCCTAATCCAACCTCCACCAAAGCTCCTCGTCAACCGGACGCCACCCTGTGAGCCACCGCGCCACACCTCTGTTCTTAACCTCCTCCGCAGCCTCTGACACCCTCAACCAAGGTTTGGCTTGTTTGAATGTATATACTGTTATTCTCTTGCATTGTGAATAATATAGGAGAGATAATTTTGACAGAATTTCTTTATGGTTTGTTGTAGGTGGATTTGTGAAGTAGATAGGTTCTTCGAGATCCCTCTTATCGCGGATTTGGTGGTGCTTGACTGCACCAATTTGGGAACTTGTTTTGTTTTGTTTAAAATATGAACACCATTGTTATGTTTAAAATATGAAGGAATTTTAGCAGAGACCTTGTGCACACTGTTCTTTTGTTTCCTCTTTTACCTAGCAGGTGCGTGGTAGGCAAGTGGCACTTAGAGTAACAAGCAGATCGTTGTGCTTTCTATAATTGCAGTGTTCCTTGGGTGGCAGTGTGCTTCACTGTCTTCATATTTTTATTCTGAGTTTGATTTTAGAAAGTTATGTGTGCATGATGTATCCTTTATAGTGTGTGTTGCGTAAACATAATAAGATCTTCAATTAACAAGAGACCATGATTGTTAGGCTAGATGGTTTTGTACACCATTATCCTTCTGTTTCATTTGAGGAAAATCTGAGGTACCAAGGTGATAAATAAACTTATTTTGTGATTAGTACAGGACACACTGTACTTACATTATGGAAAGCAATACTTGAAAGATTGTTACATTGAAGGGAGTGTGGACTTCATTTTTGGTAATAGTACTGCACTCTTGGAACATTGTCACATCCATTGCAAGTCCGCATGGTTTATAACCGCACAGAGCGTAAAACTCTCCACAGGAAAAACTGGTTATGTATTCCCGAGGTGTGTGATCATGCCTAATACTTACAACATCATCTTCCCACATAATATTTTTTTTAGTCATTGTAACTTGTTTAACAAGGAAAGAGACATTTCCCAATCATCTTGTTTCCCCTACAATACAACAGTGTTAGTGACTCTTACTTTGTTTTCCAATTCCAAGGCAAAATATGTTCTCTCTTAGTTCTTCCGATGTGAAATCAAGTAAGTACCTAGGTTGAAGTTTATCATCATGACCGAGTCATGTTTATGAAAACCGATTAAGATAATGAGAGAATGCTCGGTTTTGAAGATGATCTTGCTTTTAAGTTTTGCAGTTTGGTTTGTAAATGTTTAGAAGCATGGCTAACACGGATTTAGGAGTATTTAATTAGAAAAAAACATTCTAGGTTAAAACAAGAACCAGATTCTCTTGAAGCTAGGGAAATGCTCCCTTGAAAATTCAATGAATTCAGGAATCCCGTAAGAAATCTTAGAATAAAAATCTTTGAATCTCATACTACTCTATGCTTCCTTGTCAATATTTTGCTCCTCTCCCTTTACGAGTGTTTCTTTGGTGTGTTAATCTGTTAAACTTCCGAGTCCAAGAAAGGATACTACACAAGTAAAGTACTTTTATTATGTTGTGAACATTTTGGTTCCTTACATGATGTTTTGTTTGTGGTCATTGCAGATGTGTTGTCATAGGTAATGGGGAACTTCATATGCATATCCGGGAAGACCATGGAGACCTTTTGCAAGAGTGGTTTTTGCATTCACTTTCATGGATCAATGTATAAAGCCTGCAGGGTGGAATAATTGGGGCAAAGTTGAGAATGAAAGAACTTCTTGCTTCTATGAATACATGCAATCATTTCTAACTCCATTCCGTAGTATTGTTATCATCACCAAGGCCTTCTTATACTCATTAAATCAATGGATCTCGACAAAGAAATTGTTGATAATTTCATAAAAACATCAAAGTGAAAGAGGGTCTAAAGTGTATAAAATTATTGTTTATTGAGTTGAACAAGTTTGGAGTAATTTGATAAGAGTGCAGATGTTCTGGACCGGGTTTCGTCCATCCCAAAGAGTGAAATGGGCTAGAGAATTGAAGAATGAAGGAGCTCGAGTAGTTTCGAGTCACACCTTCATTGATCCAGAATCGACAGATCTTGGCTTCCTCAAAGAATGACCTTCAATTATTAATTAGGATTATTATTATAATAGAATAATTAATAGATCTTGTCTTCCTTCATAAAATTCCTACTACAAGTCAATAAGACACCGACAATATATCGGAGGACTAATTTTCAATTTTATGATATTAAGACTTTGAATCTTGAGTAGTTGTTAAGTTCTTAAGTTTCATTTGTGTTATGTTTGGATGAATTAAGCACGTACAAATTTTGTAAAATTGGATATACAAAATTTGACTTTAGTTCTTAAGTTTTCATTTGTGTTATGTTTGGATGAATTAAGCGAGTACACATTTTATGATTTGAATAATTTGACTTTAGTTCTTAAGTTTTCATTTGTGTTATGTTTGGATGAATTAAGCGTGTACAAATTTTGTCAAATTGGATATACAAAATTTTAAACGAAAATTTTCAGATTTGGTTAGATTAGCGATCGAATTTTTGGTCGCTACAAATTTATTATAATATACAATTCAAATTTAGCGACCGATTTAGCGATCGATTTAAATTATTATTTAAATAATTCAATTAATATATTAGTGACCGATTATATCCGTCGCTATTATTTTTAACTTTGTCTCCATTTTAGCGACCGATTTAGCGATCGATTTTAATTATTATTTAAATAATTATATTAATATATTAGCGATCGAATATCGGTCACTATTTTTTAAAACTTTACCACTGGATTTAGCGACCGATTTAGCTGATCGATTTATTATATTATTTTTGGTCACTATTTTGGTCTTCAATGCATAAGTGACCAAATTATTTAGCGACCACTTTAGCGACCACCTCATCGGTCGCTATTTAGCGACCGAAATGTAAATCGGTCGCTAACAAATTAGCGACTTGCCCTTTTGCGACCAATCATTTCGGTCGCTAATTTCGGTCGCTAACAGAATAGCGACCGATTTTTGGCCATTAGCGACCGATTTTTTCGGTCGCTAATAGCGTTTTTTCTTGTAGTGTTGATTGGTGTATATATCTGAAGGTCAGTGAGAGCAAGTTTATATTTTTGATTTTGTATATTGATGATCTTGTTTTATTAAGTGAGACTAAGAATTTTCTCTTTAACAACTTTGAAATGAAAGATATAGGTGAGACATACTATGTGATAGAAATAAAAATATTCTATGATAGATCACAGAGACTCTTAGGTTTGTCTCAGAAAGTATATATTAATAAAGTTTTAGAGAGACTCATAATGGATAAATGTTCAACATCTCTCATTCAAATACAGAAATGAGACAAATTTAGTCTCATGCAATGTCCAAAAAATGACTTGAAATAGAAACATATGAAAAATATCCCTTATGTATCTGTTGTTGGGAGTTTGATGTATGCTCAAACATGTACGAGGTAAGATATTAGTTTTGTTGTTGGTATGCTAGATAGATACCAGAGTAATCTTGGACATAATTGAAAAACTGCAAAGAAAGTCTTAAGATACTTATAAGGAACAAAGAATCACATGCTTACTTATAGGAAAACTGATCACCTTGAGGTGATTGGATGTACAGATTCAAATTTTGCTGGTGGTATGGGTACACGAAAGTCTGCATTTGGTAATGTGTATCTTTTAGCCGAATGAGCGATTTCATGGAAAAGTGCGAAATAGTCCGTCATTGCTAATCCACTATGGAAGCTGAATTTGTGACATGCTTTGATGCCATAGTTCAGACTTATTGGTTGTGGAATTTTATTTTAGGACTTGGAGTAGTCGACAACATTACCAAGCAGTTAAAAATTTATTGCGATAATTCTGCAACAGTCTTCTTTTCTAAGAACGACAAATATTCCAAAGGTACTAAATATATGGAATTGAAATGCTTTGCCATTAAAAAAAAGTTCAGAAATGAAGAGTGTCAATAGAATATACTAGCACTGATCTTATGATTGTTGATCCTTTAACAAAAGGATTACTGTCTAAGTTGTTTGCTATCCATATAGTGAATATTGAATATTAATGTTATTATTAATACTTACGTTACACTCTGAGATCTTTAATATATAAGTTTCTGAAATTTGTGTTTTCTTTTTTATTGATATGCATGCAAGTTATGATAAAGAAAACAAATTATGTCATTATTATTGAAAATGATATTATGTTTGAATCCATTATGGAATTCTTATTATAAAGACATATTAAGGAGAAAAAAATAATATAGTAGCACATGGAAGGGAGCATGTGGATTGAATGACATATAAGCGTCTATGACTCTTGTTATAACTATATCTTTACTAAATTATGACTTAAGTATTAAATCACACAATGGACATGAGTCAAGTGAGAAAATGTTACAATTAATTAATTAAATTAATTCTATTATGTGACTCATGAAATATAATAATGAGCCCAAATATAATTTAATAAAAGATAAGAATCTATTGATTATTATGGAAAATTATAATTAATAAAATAAAATAAAAAATTTATGGTAACCAATTTGATGGACATTAATTAATAAGAAGATTAAGATTCTGTCTCTAGCCAAGTCATAAAGTTCTTCTTATAATAAATTATCATAAAAGTGTGACAAAAAAAAAGACAAAAAAATAGATTGAGAAAATGAGGTTAAAAAATAAAGACAATAAAGAACTTATTCTCATTCCTGCATCAAAGTTATTACTTCAATCTGTTGTGTTTTTCTGTGGATGCATTATTGAGTGTCATCCATTGTGAGTGTGAGATTGGGTGTGAGTGCGAGTAGTGTGTTATTCTATTTTTCAACCAATTTATTATCTTTTTGTTTGTTTTACTCTATTTTTCATATCATCCATCTTTGTTGATTTAATATTTATTGCGAGAAAATAATGAAGAATAAGGGATAAGAATAGAAGAGATCGATATACGAAAGGGCAAAACTCATGACACTTCAATGTTCAAGTGTATTTACAAATTGGGAATAGGTATGTGCAAATCATATATGTAGTTGTCTGGTGTATTTTTTTTGTTTTGTTTATAAAGATTAGGGGAGGAGAGAAGCCATAAGTCAAGGAGTTTATATTATTGAATAGTATTCAACATTAAAGATTTAAATTTAAAGATGTTACTCTTTATGCATATTTGCATATTAAATTTTAATAGAAAATTAGTTTTATCGTAATTAAATTATTTATTTCCTTGTATTTTTTTAGTGCAAGCAACTATACATTACCAACAACGGGGTTGCAACCTCCTGTTGAGTTTCCTTGTCGGTTAAAAAAAGTATTAATTTCTTGTATAATTGTTTATTCTCTCTTTAAATTATGATGATTTTATTATTTGATTTGTTCATGAATTTTGAATTTCTCAAATACAACAATTTTTGTATAACGTTATCTTGTATGTATTTTGGTGACCTTTTAAGTAGATTTTAATCGGTAAGATTTTTATATTGATTTAGAATGCAAGTAGTTTTTATGCAATAACTTTTTTATTATTTCTTGTGATTTTATCTATGATATTGTAAAAGTCGTGACTGTGATGAAAAATATTATTGACTAAGTAATGTTTGGTGTCATCTTTTTAAATTTTACACTATTTATTATGATTGTCCAAGGAATAAAAACTTGACTAAATTTTCTTTGATATAATATTTTTGAAGGAGGAATAAAGTACAAAATCAAAGACAATATTATATTTTTTGTATTAGTAACTTTTTTTATTCCTTTTTAAAGTTTGTGAATATTCATTCTATCTTTATCTATAATTTATAGTGAGTTTTGAAGACAGCCATATTTGTGAATACGATGTGGAAATGGTGAGAATAGATCCATTAAACTGTGAATTTTTCTTACATTCATTGTTATCGTGTATATATATATATATATATATATATATATATATATATATATATATATATATATATATATATATGTTCTTGTTGTCCTAGTATATATTCATGTTTATCTATAATTTGGTAGGATTAATTCGAATTTATTGTTTATTTAGTAATATTAACTATGTTATATAATATTTTTAGCTTATAATTAATTGAAAATTTAGGTATATTGTTTTGTTAGCATCTAAGACATCTACATCGTCTTAATATCTGAAAATGTAGAAATTCAAAAATAATGGTAAAAACAAATTTAAAAAAAAAAACATTGATGTATATGTTTATCTCGTAAAAATAAAATAAAATAATTTTTTTAAATTATATTGGTTTCACTTATTTAATTTTGTAGTCTTCACTCTTTGCAATTCTGTATTACATAGAATTTTTGTCCATTTTTTTTAATATATTTGCACCACTATAATCAATTTTTTTTTTCATAGAAAATTTGTAGTCAAATTCCATCGCGGTTATTTATATAATCAACTACTAAAACTACCTACTTATAAAATTTATCATTGATGATTTGACTTTTTGAGTCCGATATTATTTATATGATCAGACACGCAGGTACTTTTTTCAATAAACCTTAAGCATAATTTGATACATAAGAGATGAATTATTTCCTCAAATTAACTTCTTTTATGTAACTATCTTTAGTCGCTAACATTCATTTTATCATAAATGAATTAGAACACTAATATTTATCATTTAAAATAATCTTTCCACTTTTGTTTATTTATTATTTAGGATTTAGAATAACATAATTAGTGTCACGCAATATTAAGGAAAAAATATGATAATTTTAATTTTTAAAGAGACCAGAGTTTTTAAAAAATAAAATTAAAACTCATTCTTTTTATATTACTGAAAACAAATTTAAGCCTTTACATTAACCATTTCTAACTATCACTTATAAATCAAACCACCACAAATGTTGTAGAAACCGCAGTTCAAGGTTTTTTTTTATAAGGGTTTAAAATTCTGTTGGACACATTTTGAAGTAACTTGAGCGCAATTTTTATAACATGACAAAAATTGAATTTGAACGTGTTTGACCAGACCAATAATTGTATCAATTCTAGTCAAACACAATTGATTTGACCACTCAAATAATTATTTATTAATTTCACCAATCAAAATAACAAGTTTGACCACAAGTATATGGTTCTACGTATAAATGGTGAAACCCTAAAGAGTGTTATAATCTAAGGTGCATGTGATTCTTCTATAATTTATAATTTTAATCTTATTAAATTTAATAATTATTTAATATAGTTATTTATATATTTATAATTTTATTTTTTTTATTTTTTTTATATTTATTTATTATTTATTAATAATATATTATTTTGATTCCAAATTAATGACGAGGATTATTTTCTTTCAAGGAGATTAGAACTAACTTTTTTTTAAAGACTATCGAAGAGACCTAGTTCCGCGTTACACAAGTAGCTTTATTGCAACATTTTCAACCAGTCCAAATTTAGAGAATAATGCATATATTTATGCACAATAAACAACAAAGAGTTTCATAACTTTACGAAGAAAGTGGTTGAAAGTATGTTCAAGATCCTTAATACCACCATCAATGGTCGTTATTGCTGCAAATTCTTCCACACTTTCTTGCTTCATATTTTCTGCGAAAGCTTCCAAGGGCGTACCCAAAAGTAAAGGTAACACAACACAAGACGTGTTTACCACCGCGTAATTACCATAGAATTTAGAAATGGAATTTTTGAAGGTTCTTTTTTTAGTCAAATAATGAAGGGCAATTATAACTTCATAATTTTGTCTCTCGTGATGTTTTGCATGCTTTTTTGACGAACCTTAATGGCCGGCAACATGTCGTATTCAACGTGGATTTGATTGGGAAGTTCAAGCTCGGGAAAGTGATGTAAATAGGAACGAAGGAGCCACCAAACTTCCTATTTTCAAAACAAATATATGAACTTTGTGTGTATAATATTTACTTATTTTGTAAATGATTATTTTTTATCGAAATATTTGATTTTATATTTTTATTATATTTTTTAATACTTATATATGTGTCGTTAATTATAAAAGTAGATTGTGAGTGATAATTATATGTGTTGTCGATTATAATATAACCAAATCATTTAAATGTCTCATGAGACAACTTTAAACATTCTGCTAATCTGGATAGGTTTATGTTCTTACCAAAAATTGATCGGTGAAACAAAATTATAATGTAGAAACTCTAATATATATATATATATATATATATATATATATATATATATATATATATATATATATATATATATATATATATTGACGAGTTATAGACAATAGTGAAGAATGAACTTCATGAAATATGAGTAAAAAAGAGAAATCCTCCTAAAAATATAAGTATATAATATAAGACATTTGCCCATATAGTTATAGTGTGAGAATGTGTACAACAATAAGGAAATAAGTTTTAAGTCACTAATAATATAAGAGAAAAATATAAATATATAAGAATAATAGAGTAAGAGTGTGTTATTGAAAATATGACTATAATCTTAATAAATTATTTTAGACAATAAATTATATCTGCTTTAATGTCATTTAATGATTCATTTATATAAGATTATGTTGTTTATAATATATTATTTATTATTGAATTAATATACATTTAACAAAATCTTTAAGAGAATCTTTGTATTTAATATCAAAATTCAGATATATTATTCCATTGGTTAGCATCTACCCAATTTGAATAAAATGAAGCAACCTTTCAATACACAGAACGAATGAGAAGATCTAATATATTGTTATTTGAAAGAAAAAGTATTCATGGTGATTACTCTAAGTCTCATATATATATATATATATAGTAACTTATTAAATTTTAAATGAATATTAATCTAAATGGATACCAATTATTCAGTTTTATAATTAGTGATAGCAATATAAGCTGTGATGTTTTACAAAATACGGGTAGATCGATGAGATGAGTCACTTGCATATCTATCATTTTTTTTTAAGTAAATGACAAGGAATTAGGTTTGCGAATGTCTACATCATCATGATATGAACTCACAAATATTATTTTCACCAATGCTGCATTATGTCAATTTATTTTCCACTTTTGCAGCATCAAAATCTGCATTTCATGTTTTATACATCATTTTTCTTGCCAGTTTGAGAACTTGCCAATTTTTCCTTGTCTGTAATATCGATCATTCCTGCCTCTATGGATATACAAAGAATCAGCCAAGTAAGGAATTAATTAAACTTAGTAGAAATAATTAATGGTAGTTTTTTGACAAAAAATTGTATTGATGCCTGTGACTGTCATGATTAATAGCTAGCAAACAAGAACGTAAATTACATCGAGTTAACCATTCCAACACTTCTGGAGGTTGAAAACACATAGGACTCGAGTACTCAAAATTCGTCTTCAAATAAAACAAACTGAGAAGAATAATTTATGTATTTTTCTGCGCTTCATGAAATTACAAGTGATTTTCTAGCTTTCCTACATGACTTTCCGCGATAAACGCGGTACTAAAACACGCATCCGTAGTCGTTCCTTCCCAGAAACATGTTGTGTGACCAAACTGGTATAGTCACCCGAGTGTTAAAAACAGAAGACAAACATAACAAGAAAACAAATTATAGAAAAAGGAAAAACAGATTTTAATATTGTCTATGATAAATTTATTATTGGGTTATTTTATATTTTGAACTTGATATATTAATCAAATGGTGGGTGGCACGTATTCAATATTGTTTCTTTAATGCCTTTCTTCCATATAGAGAGAAGGTCCCCATAGTTTTTGAGAGAAGTGAAAGAGACTGGTTGACTTTTGATGGCCCTTGAAATTTTGACTATTGACACCGAGTTGTTACATCATGGATACGCACCGTAGGCTACAATGTTTTGTTCGGGCCAAGTACTGCGCAATTTCCTCCAATATTCCATGAAGCTTCGGTGTTGTTTTATGTTTATTATTATATACTATGTAGTAACACATATTCTATGGCCCGCGACATTATTTGGGTATAAAAAGCAAAATACGCTCTTGCTTTTGCCCTCTCCTGCTTCATTTCTTCAATTAACCTCAAACACACAAACAGTTGTACTCTCGATTAGGTCTCATCAGATTCTTCACCAAAAATGACGAAAAGATTGTTCAATGATTCTGAGCGAGAACCTGATAAGTCAGACGACAAACGGATGAGAAATAATGCTACTAGACCTTCTTTTGCTTCGTATGTACTATTTATACGCAGTTTATAAAGTTTCTAGCTAGGGTTTATTTGATCATGCCTGAATCTACTTGCTCATCTTCTCTAGTTTATTTGATCCTTTCGTAGGGCTTCACTATGCTTCAAGTTAACTTTTCACTTTTCTCATTCATGAATTTTCTTGACAGAGTAATTGGAGAAGTGGTCATGAGCAAAAACATTGAGAATCTTTTCACTGCCATGGAACCTTTGCTTAAAAGAGTGGTAAGGCATTAAGCTTCTCAATTAGTTCATATGTATGTATATATTTAGGTTAGTTTGATTCAGTCTTCTGCATGCATATTGCTAGATAAGCCTTTATTTGTTAATATATATGTTGTGTCTTTGAGCAGCTTGTGAATTATCATTCATTAATTTGGTGAACTTTTCTCGTTGCAATTCCTTTTGCTAGGTGGGTGAGGAAGTTGAGCGAGTATTGAGACAGTGGTCATGCTCCTTTACTAGGTCTCCTTCGTTGAGGCTCCAAGCAATGGAGCAACCATCAAGCTTGCAACTATGGTTCAGCAAGAGACTTTCCCTTCCAATTTTCACAAGTAGCAGGATTATTGACATTGATGAGAACCCCATCAACATAGTTCTGATGGACAAAAGCAACAATAACCAAATGGTCCCAACAACTCTACCACATGCCATCAAACTAGAACTGGTGGTTCTTGATGGAGATTTTTCTCCTTCTGGAAACGAGGATTGGACGAGTGATGAATTTAACAGACATATAGTGAAGGAGAGAAAAGGGAAGAGACCTTTAATTTCAGGAGAATTGAACCTGATCATGCGAGATGGAGTTGCATCAACTGGGGACATTGAGTTCACTGATAACTCTAGCTGGATCCGTTGCAGAAAGTTCAGAGTTGCAGTGAGGGTAGCACCAGGGAGTGTTCAAGGAGTTCGGATTCGTGAAGGAATGACTGAAGCATTTGTTGTCAAGGATCACCGTGGAGAATGTAAGTTACATCAGCTTGAAGTATTACCAATATATATAACTTGTGTTTCTTTTATTATGAAGTATACTTTCTTATTTTTCTATTTTTTGATGAGTGGAAGAACAAGGGAACTTTAGTTCAATTCTCTATCTACAAACATATGGAAGGTTTCATCTCATTTTCATTAGAATAATATGTGATAATTAAGAACAAGATTATTATTCATTCTAGGTGTGATGGAAAGTTTGTCAATCACATCTTTCTTTTATCCAAAGTTACCACCTATCTTTGGTGCTGCCCAAAATTCCCTCTTCATGTATAGTTGCTAGCTACATTGGATATGGATACTGTTTCATGCATTGAGAAAAAGAATTTTGTGAACGTTTCATAATGAATAATTCTTCTATGGAGATAATATTGATAAAAGCAATTACTTCTATGAATTGCAACTTCGACGTATTTATACTCTTTGTTCTTTCAAAATTATTTTGCTCCCCTTTTAAAAAGAGTTGTGATCAAGATACATCTAGTTAACGAGTGTTTCTTTCAAAACCTTTACTTTAATTACTTATCACTTAGCATTCTTTGTCTTCGTGACCAACTTTGTGACGTTTTATTTTGTATTTCTATATAACTGTTATTAAAATTAGCTTGAATTTGATGACGAACATTGGTTGCTTACAAGTTATTATTTTTATCAAATGTTCTTCTCAGAGTCACATTAATTTTATTCAACCTTGTTTGGTGATTGAGCTTTGACCGTTGTTTCACTTTAATATCTTCGTAGTTCATATTTGTTAATAACTACTACTGCTATTGGTGTTATGCCAACTAATAATTGGTCTGAAAATATTCTACAATTTTTCTTCAACTTATATAGGTTGTTGACAACTACTAGTCAGAAAGGAAGTTATATTTCTCACAGGAAAAGTCTCTTGATTCAATCACTTCTGTGCTGATTATTACAAGAACATTCTGTAACAAGAAATTTTAGTCGTCGTAGATTTGGCCAAAAAAAAAAAAAATGACATTGACTTTGACAGATCTCATATTATCAGTAAAACAAAATTGTCGTATACCATTCAGCAAATCAAACTTGATCTTAGTCACTCTTTGAATAAGGATTCTCTCTCTCTCTCTCTCTCTCTCTCTCTCTCTCTATATATATATATATATATATATATATATATATATACTAGCATTTGAATATAAATTTTGTGTAACATTTTTTTTGGTAGAATTTTGTAGTAACATATATTTACAAATATAATTTTTAAAAATCTAATAATTTATTGGTATAAAAGAGTTCAAAATCAAGTTGATTGTGGTTCCACGTTTATTAATGTCATACCCTTTATGATAGTTATGGTCAATCCAATACTTTTGTTTCTTCTGTTTGTTTGTGACAATCGAAAAGACAGTTGGTCAAGTACAAAACTATGCCCAAGGTCCCACCAAATGCAACCATTGGTGTGTGAAATCAAGAAAATCTACTTCGCTAATCCCACCTTATTGATGCCAAAATAATTGTGACGTATAATATCTTTTACTTTTATTTTCTGTTATATATTATCCAGACATAGATTCTTTTTGGCAAATTGATGGTTGTGAATGAGTCTCAAGTCAATGGTTTCAACATTAAACGAAGCCAGGTCAAGCACGAGTCTAGTGGTATAAATTTCTTAGTTAGTGAGGAGTTTCTCGGGGGTAGTTTTTTGAGATAGTGAGAATAATCTTGTATCTAAAACTTCTTCCTGTACTGAAAGAATTTTATCATTCTTATTTTATACTACAAATATTATATTTTATTTCTTATTAACTCTGTTTTTTATACTTTTGAAGTGTACAAAAAACACCACCCTCCAATGCTTCATGACGAATTGTGGCGTCTGGAAAAGATTGGTAAAGATGGATCTTTCCACAGAAAATTGTCATTCCACGGCATAAAAACAGTTCAAGAATTTCTTAAACTAGCAGTTGTTGATACTCCGAAGCTAAGACATGTATCTATCTTTGCATCATATACTTTTATTTGAGACAAAATGTTAAATTTTTATTTATGAATATGAAATTAACTTTTTCGTTGAATGTTCTACAACCAGATTTTGGGCATGGGGATGTCAGACAAAATGTGGGAAGTCACAATCAAGCATGCAATGACTTGTGACTTGGGAAGCAAGTTGTACATTTATAGAGGACCACAGTTTACTGTTTTTCTGGATCCAATATGCAAATTAATTAGAGCAGAAGTTAATGGACAGACATTTTTCAACAGAGATCCAATGAGTCATTTGAATAAGGTACAATGAATCATCCACTGACCATGGACTCAATTTGTTCCCTTAATTTATATATGAATTACACCCTTGTGTTTGGTTTTCCCCTCTAACTCACTTCAATGGATGTTATTTTTGACACCTGCAGTCCTATATAGACAAATTGGTGAAAGAAGCATACGTGAGATGGCATAGTTTGGAGGAGATAGATGGGGTTCTGAACGATAACATTGCTGTGTTAACCCAAGGTATCTTCTTTTAACCTAGGTCTTCTGTGTGTCTATGCTGAAATATATATAATAGAGAAATGCTAGCGATACTTCCTTAAGAAAACCTAATAGAGAACTTATTTATGAATTCTTAGCTTTTTATTGAGCTATATAGAATTTAAGATCTTGAACAAACTTCCTCTTTAATAGTAGCAGTGTCTTTTATTTAAGAACTTAAAATAGGTTCCACAGGAAATAAACCCTATTCTTTATACTGTTTGGATGATTTTGACAAATAGATAATTTTATTAATGGTAAGAACTCAGTTTTGATAAAAGAGAAACAGTTTTACAGTTAGCAGCTATGCCAGCAAGGTCTACATGGTAAGACTTTATTAGAAGAAATCCTTGTTTCTAAAAACCCCAATCAGAACTAGTTTACAACTGGTGATGACTTATCAATTTTTTTTTAACACACTTTATATTATTGGTATAGATAAAAATAAAATGAAAGCAAGAAGATTAAATTATAAACTTACTGCATTCGAATTGTCAAATCTTCAAATTCTTTATTTGACAGATAACTAATTGCATTTTGGATTCAGCCACAGTAACTGACGTTTATGTGAACATAAATAACTATAGGTGATCAAACTGCTGCATCTGCAGTCACATATCAGCAGAATCAGTATTACAGTGACAAATCTGCTAGCTTTGTTGCAAACAACAACACACAAATGGGATGCTGCGACTGGTCACTTAATCAAGCTTATAGCCCAGCACCGTTTGCTAATGCCTTTCCTTTTAGTTTCTCAGGATCACAAACAGATGGAACCGCTTCAGGTTCTAGCTCTGTTGATGTTGATGGGGCCAGAAGGCAGAATTAGGTGCATCAAAAGTTTCTGCACATGTACAGTATAGACAAAGGCAGCTACTTACAAATATGTATAAGATCTTTGTGTAATTCATAAAACTTATACATGCTTGTAAGTGGTGAGGGCCTGAATGATGTGTCCATGCAAAAAAAAAAAGAAGTCTAAATAGCACTAGTAGTAAAGTATATTGAGTTTCTGCTGCATATATATACTGTGTTCCACTATGACCAAATGTAAGCAATCATAAAACAATAGATGTGCTGTAAAATATAATTTGTAATGTGATACACCTTGTTTGCTTTTAGTTTTCCAAATTTGTAGTTTTGGTTTGGATGCTTCGTTCTTTTTTAATTTCAAACCTTACAAATTCGTTGGATAAAAGAAAATTTATCTGCAAAAGTCTTTCTACGAGACCAACAGTTTGATAAACTATAGGAGCTAGTGAGAGAAAAAGGAAGCTGAAACTGGATTATTGCTTCATATATATATAAAAAAATGATGATACTACTGTTTATATATTCTAGTGGCTAATCTGTTAGAATTGTTTTCTTTCTTTAAATTGATATATTTTGTTTGGAAGATTCTTAATAGTACGTATAAAATATTTTCTTTCTTTGAAAAAGAATGAAACGACCACTTACTTTTTTCGCCTTTTGTGCTCTCCCTTAATTCCATTTTCTTTTTCTTTACCATCTCTTATGTTTTTCGTAGAATTTCAGGAAGGATAGAAAATATGGTTTGATGTTTAGTAGTAAGATTCGTGTAAAATTAATTTTTAGAAAGAAGTGGACAAATAGGAGAAAGTTTGTATGAGGAAAAATAGTAATTGATCTTAGAAGTGCTATACTTCAAGTGAGGGGGTCACCACCTATATATAGGTATGAGACACTCATCTCTAGAATCTTCTAAGAACTTAGAGATAATTCTTCCTACATTACACTTTAATTTATCATTCTAGATTTTTTTAGTAATTCTAGAGGCTACTTACATAGAGTTTACAATTCTAATAGTCTCTAGAACTTAAAGAAGTTTCTAGAACTTAATTTTCTTGATCTTTCTAGAATTTGCATCACTTTTTAACACTTTTCCTTAATGCAAATTTCAATAACTTCAAGCATGAAATGTAACTGTTCAAATTTGGCTCTTGGTAGTGCCTTGGTAAATATGTCTGCAATTTGATCTTATGTAGTGCACTACTCAAGTTGAATTTGTTTAGTCGTTTCAGCCTCTCTGATGAAGTGATATTTAATAACTATATGTTTTGTTTTTGATGATGAAATGGATTCTTTGTCATTGCTATCGCTGACTTGTTATCACAGTAAATTAATTGTAATAGATTCATGTTGTTGTTTTCCCATCTCTTCAAGTATTATTCAGAGCCATATAGCTTGACTTGTAGCCTCAACTGCAGCCATGTACTCTGCCTCTACCTTTGTTGTTGATTGTGCTACTGTTGCTTGTTTCTTAGATGCTTAAGAGAAAAATCCCGATCCAAGTGAGAATGCATAACCTGATGTACTCTTCATGTCATCTATAGATCCTGCCCAATCATTATTAGTGTAGCCAATCAACTTTGAGTCGTTTATAATTTTGTATCATATACCAAAGTCCTTTGTTCCTTACAGATATCTTAAAATCCTTTTTGTTGCTCCAAAGTGGATTTGACTTGGTCTTTGCATGAACCTTGATAGAAGGCTTGTAGCATATATGATATCTGGTCATGTAGCGATAAGATATAATAAGCTTCCAATCAAACTTCTGTAGCGTGATGCGTTAGCTTTTGATGCTCCATCATCTTTTTGTAACTTCTCATTTGTCACGAGTGGAGTAACCACAAATTTGCAACCATACATCTTGAATTTCTTTAATAAAGCCTTGGTGTATTTATTTTGAGAGATAAATACACCCTCCTTTTGTTGTCTTATTACGTCTATGCCGATAAAATAATTCATCAAGCCAAGGTTACTCATTTCAAATGTTTTCATCATGTCTTCTTTGAATTCCCTTATAATCTCTTTATTGTTTCCTGTGTAGATAAGATCATCTACATATAGAGAGACAATGGGAATATCATATTGACATTGAGTCTTGATATATAGTATTGACTTACTCTTGTTCCTCCTGAATCCTCGATTAGTGAAGTACTGATCAATTCTGCTGTACATGCTCGAGGAGCTTGCTTCAAGCCATATAGTGTTATTCTTAGCCTTAATACTTTGACTTCATTTCCTTTGCTTATAAAGCCTTGTGGTTGCTCCACATATATCTCTTCTTCTAGTACACCATTTAGAAAAGTTGATTTAACATCCATTTGGTGAATGCTTCATCCTTTTTGTGCTGCAAGAGTTATTAAAGCTCTAATTGTATCTAGACAAGCAACTGAGAATGTCTCGTTATAGTCAATTCTAGGTTGTTATGAATAACCCTTTGCTACCAGCCTAACCTTGTACTTTTGTATGGTGCCGTCAGGATTGAACTTTATTTTATAAACGCATTTTACTCCAATTACGTCATTTCCATGTGGGCATTCTATTAGTTCCCAAGTATTTTTTTTTTATCATTTTAATTTCTTCCTCCATTGCCTTGATCCAGACTTCTTGCTTTGCAACCTCTTCATAACATTCAGGCTCAAGCATTGCCATGTTGCATGTTTCATATATATCCACCAAGGATCTTACTCTCCTAGAAGTTGATTTTGGTGAAAAATCTTGTTGTACAGATAAAGGAAGTGTACCTGGATCTTCTGTCACTTCTTGAATTTCTTCTTGGGATTGTTGTACTGGAAGGAAGATGTTGTTTCTCATGATTCTTCATTCTTCCCAATTCCAAGAAGCATTTTCATCAACCTCAACATCTCGACTGATGATGAGCTTTGTATGCAAGTTATAAACTCTATAGCCTTTTGTTTGTGTGTTATATCTCAAGAAGATTCCTCGTATAGTCTTTTCTTCTAATTTGTTCCTTTTTTGATATGACACATGTATGTAGTAGATGGATCTAAAAACTCTTAAGTGTTTAACTGATGACTTTTGCATACTCGAAGCTTCAATTGGAGTCTTGTCTTGGACTGTCTTAGTTGGACATCTATTCACGGCAGTGTAGATCGCTTTTACCCAAAACGTATTTGGCAAACCTTTCTCCATTAGCATTGATCTCGCCATCTTTATCATTGTCCGATTATTTCTTTATGATACACCATTTTGTTGTGGTGTATATGCAACTGTAACTTGTCTTTCTATTCCTTCATCTTCATAAAATTTATCAAACTCATGTGAGTTATATTCTTTACCTTGATCACTTCTAAGAACTTTTATGTGTATTCCACTTTGTTTCTCGATGAGAGCTTTAAACTTCTTGAATATTCCAATATGATTTTTCTTTGATGAAGTAAACCCAGGTCATTCAAGAAAAGTCATTGATAAAAAGGATAAAGTACCTGTTGTTGTTTAGTGACGGTGTCCTCATCGGTCCACATATGTCTATATGGATTAATTCCAATAAACCTTTTGCTCTCCATGCTCTGTCGGTTGAAAATGATAATCTATGTTGCTTCTTGAGAAGACATCCTTCACAAACTTCATTATTCTCTTTCAGGTATGGAAAATCTCTCATCATATTCTTGTGATGTAAAAGCTTCAAATCCTGAGTGTTGAAGTATCCAAACCTTTTATGCCAAAGCCATGAATCATCAACTTGAACTTTCATGGCAATATCAGTAATATATTTGAAGCTTATAGGAAAACTTTTATTTTTTTTCTCCATTTTTACTTCTCCTATCTCTCATCTTTTATTGTCATAGATTTTACATGTATCTCTTTTGAAGTGAAGAGCATAACCTTTCTCCATCATGTTCAATGCCCTAGAGATTTTCTTTAATATTGGGAACAAGTAAGACATCTTTAATAAGTCTTGTACCTTTTTTAGTTTCCACTGCAACGGTGCCTCTTCCTTTTGACTATACTAGTGTACCATTTTCCAATCGTATTTTCACTTTGATAGAGTCTTCAATGTCCCTGAAGATATTTTCGTCTTTGGCCATGTGATTATTGCATCCGCTATCCAAATATCAATTTCCGCTTGTTTCATCATTGGAGTCTCGGGTAGCATAGAAAAGATGTTGCTGAAGGTCATATTTTTCAGCAAAATTTGCTTGATGCTTGTTTTTTATGCGACAAATTTTCTTCATATGTCCAAACTTCTTGCAATGTTGACATTGAGATTTTCTACGATGCCAACCATCTTTCTCCAAGTGACTTGACTTTTTATAGATGCCACAAGGAGAAAATTTATCTTGACTAGACTTGGAGAAATTTCTGGAGTTTTCTTTATTTCTAGAAATTTCTTCAAATTTCTTTCCTCTAATTTTTTTTATTCTGAAACCGTAATTTGAGTTTTGATTGAAAGACATTTTTGACAGAATCTTCATTATAACTTTTCAATCTTTGTTCATATGCTTCAAGAGAACCTATTAGTTCTATCATCGACAAGGTAGACAAATCCTTAATTTGTTCAATTGTTGTCACAATTGCATCATATTTGTGGGGAATAAAAATTAAATTTTTTTCAACAATTTTCTTGTCTAGAATATTTTCCCCACATGCTCTCATTTGACTAATTATCTCTTTGATTATAGTATAATAATCTTTAATGATCTCAGACTTCTTCATACTCAATAATTCAAACTCACATATTATAGTTTGAAGTTTAATGGTGCATACCTTTACACTTCCTTGAAATTCCTCTTATAGTATGCTCCACACTTCTTTGACACTTGTGATATCCATTATTCTTGAAAAAATTGCATTAACTACAACTTGTTGTAGAAAGTATAATATCCTTGAATCTTTTTACTTGTTCTCTTTCAACTCTTTCTTCTGAGCTGTTGTTAATGTAGAAACATCTATAGGAATAATGAAACCATCTTCAACGATCTCCCACAGATCTTGAAAGCAAAAAAAATGTCTTGATTTTAATGCTCCAAAAGTCATAATTTTCTCTTGTGAAGACAGGTA